TTTTATAAAACAACTTATTTTTTTCTGATCGTACAAGTAATTCAGACATCAGCTGTCTGTGGGGGAAAAGGAGCCTGGCTGCCGCCTCCATCGTGTGCCAAAGCAAAGCCACACGCTTCGGAGACGGAAGCGAAGCCCGCCCTGGACCAGTTCCGCAGGGAGAGTGTCCTGCGCGGAGAGCCGGCTCCGGCCAGGCAGGATGGCGGTGGGGGGCTCGGGGCTCGGGGCTCGGGGCTCTGGGCACCTTGGGACCCGCAAGCCAAGCTGTTCCGGGGACACTGGACGCCATAGCCTGGAAGTCCGCGCTGGAGCCGGGAACGCGGCTTCGAGGGACATCGGCCTGGTCCAGAGCGGAGTGACGGTGGCCACGTGGCCCGACGTGAAAACACGGGAGGCTGTGGCAGGCCTGCGACTTGCGCGGCCCGTGCACAGAGAGGCCGGCCTTGAGCCTGGGCCGGAGCCCTGTCCCCAGGGAGGGCCTGGCTGGCAGGGTGCAGCGTGTCCCCGCAGCTCAGCCAGGCGGAGGGTGAAGGCGAGTCTGCCGCAGCAGTGGGGGCTCACCGAGGGGCCGACGGGTGCTCCACGGAGCGCTGGGCCAGCGACCAGGGGAACCCTGACGGCCGGGATAAAGGAGGCGTGTTCGGGCGGGTTTGGGCGTGACGGGGACAGCGGGCAGCGCCTGGGCGGGCTGCGGGTGGCGGCTGGGGTTGGCCAGCAGGGAGAGGGTGAGCTGCTGCCAGGGGGCAGGAAGGAGCCAGGGTAGGGGGATGGCAGAATGGGGAGGGCCGGCCGGGGCAGGGGCGGAGGCGGAGGAGCCGGCGTGTGGCAGCGGAGGTGGCAGGAAGCTCGGGCCCTGGGCTTCCGGTCCCTCCTGGGAGCTGGGCAGGGGAGATGGCCCGCTGCCAGCGGGGGAGCTGAGGGCAGGGGGCCCCACTGGTCATCGGGCACCTCAAGGAGGCCTGTCAGGGTGACGACCCCCAAGTGCCTGTGGGCACGGACTAGAGCCCTGTGCTGGAGCTCGGCGTCCCTCGTCGTCGGGGCGAGGCTGGGGACAGCGCCTGCCGAGGGAGCCGGGCCGCGTGACGAGGCGAGGGGGTGGGCGTCCGCCGTGGCTGTGACCGTGCGGGGACGTGCCCGACACCGGCCGGGAGGGGGCGGCCGGGGAGGTCTCATTGCAGCAGTGCCCGGGGGCAGAGACTCCGATCGAAGTGGGGACAGGACGGGGTAGGCGTCCACGTGGCACTGTTCACTGTCACCAAAGGCGCACGGGGCCGCGCCCCCCGGTGAGGGGCGACGCGCACGGTCTGTCCCTGCGGTGGAGCGTCGTTCGGCCTTGAGGAGGAAGGACGGTCTGCATGCAAACCTTTTGAGACGTCCCCACTTAGCGGTGACACCCCCACTTAGCGGGGCTTCAGCCCCACTCTGGCCCACGTGGCCTGCCCTGAGTCTGGGTGCCCGGAGTCTGGGTGACAGTTCTGTGCTCGCTTAGTCCGGAGCTGACAAGCCTCTGGTTTGGTAAAACACAGACTGCCCCCCCCTCCCCCGCAGCTGCTCGCTGGGGGGGGGGATGAGGTGGCCGCCAGTGCCCCTCCCCCCGGCCTCAGGGGGCTGGCTTGTTTACTGCATTCCTCCCAGGGACGTCACTGATGCCGGCTCTGGAGCTGCCTTCCAGCTCCCACTCCCTCCCCCCAGCCTTGGGCTTCTTCAAGGCTGCGGCCTCCCCGCCACCTCCCCCAACAGACTCAGGTGTGCCCTGCGGTCACGGCTGGTGTTGGGCTGGCCTGGTCTGAAGCCAGCGCCAGGAAGGAAGGGAACAGGGAGCTGGGAGAGTCACCGGCAGAGGACACAGACTGGACAGGGCACGTGCCGCGTGGGCCCTGAACGAGGACTGTCTTGGGCTTGGCGTCCTGGGGGCGAGGGCGTCCTAGAGATGGCCAGCAGCTGGCCCTGCTGGACGCTAAGCCCCGTGTTGTTTGGGGGTGGGGCACACAGCCCCCCTTCCCGCAGGAGCCCTGCCCCGGCCACTCTCCCCATAGCCCCACCCACTGCACCCCCACAGGCCTGAGTGCTGCTGGGGTGAAGGGGTGGGGTGCGGCTCTGGGGCCAGCTGAGGGGTCAGGACTATGGCCCTCCCAGCTATGGCCCGACTGGCCGCTGAGCCCACGGCACGTCGGCCTCGGAGCCGCCCATGTGCACCGCACACGATGAAGCTTTTGTCACTCGCCATTCACGCGGCAGCTACCTCACCACCTCCAACGTGCCTGTCACTGGCACGCCTGCTGGGGACCTGCTGGGGACCCACCGGGGACCCACAGGGGCCCCTCCCGGCCTGCACTCAAGTATCAGGCCACGATGACCCTGGAAGCCACAGCTCCCCCGAGCACAGTGCCCGGCGTGCTGGGCGTTGTCTGTTTCTAGGGTGCGGGGCCAGCGTGGCCCCGGCAGGCCACAGTGCGCGCTCACAGGAAGCAGCGGGAAGGACGCCTGAGGCCCCGTGGAGGTCCTCAGAGGTGAAGGGCCCAGGCTTCTGGCCGCCTGCAGCCCGAGGACCCTGCTGCCCAGCCCTCCATCCGCTCCCTCCGGCTGAGGTGGCCCGGGCCAGCGGCCAGTGCCGAGGAGTAAACTAGATGGTGACCTGGGGAAGTCCTGAGCATGGCACTCACACCTGCAAGCATGGGGGGGCTGATGCTGTGACACCCCGATTCAGTGCTGGGCACTCGGGCGGGAGCGCGGCTCAGCGCGCGGTCCCCGCGCAGGCCCAGTGACACAGTTGGGTGCAGACTCGAGCCTGAACCGTGCCGTGTGGTGCTGGGCCCGTGTCCTCTGACACACAGAGATGTCAGCAGTGGTGAGACCTCAGAGCCGTCCCACCGGCCGTGTGCGTCAGGAGAGTGGGACCGAACAGCGGGCGGCAGCAGCGGGGGCGGCTTGGCACCGGCCGAGCCCGGGTGTGGGGTGGCCGGCTGGGCGGGGAGCGGAAAGGGTGCCCCGAACGCCCGTGACAAGCTGCGTGCGCAGTGACCAGCGACAGGCTCAGAGGAACGAGCAGCTCCCGCCCCGCTGCCGGCTGCCGCTCCGCCGCCTCGCCACAGAGCACGCGGTGGGGGCGGGGGGTTCCCAAGGCCCCCTGGTCCCTCCCCAGCTTCTGGCTCTCTTGGCAGATGTCCAGGGCTTAGGCCGTGGCCATTGCGTTTTTCACGGCCAAGCGCAGAGTGCACCTCCACTGCCCCCCGCCCCACTAAGCACTGCTGAGCAGGAGGCTGGGGGCCGCGAGCAGGGGGCCCGGCCCGCCGCCCGCCAGCGCGCGTCCGCACTGCCACGGGGACCGGGCTCCTGGCAGCTCGTCGCCCTTCTTGGGGTCAGGACCTTGGTCTGTGTCCTGGCTCCTGGCTCTTCCAGTGCCACCCAGGGAGGGCTCGGAGGCCACGGCCGTGATGCCCACGAGAAAAGGGTCGGGGGGTGGGTCACTGCGGCAGAGCTGAGCCTGTCACACAGGCTGCTGCAAAGCCAGCGGGCACCCATGCCACTGTCTAGGGGACAGTCTGTCCCAGGGCCTGAGGCTCTGCCTAATGAGTGGGCCCTGAGCCCCAGGAGAGGGCTCCTGCCCCACAGAGAACCTGGTGACAGGCACCGCCCTCACCCCCCAGGGACGGCCAGCCCTGGGGTGCCACACTGCCGTCCCCCTCTCCAGGGGCAGCTAGCCCCCAGGTGCTACTTCCCCGAAAGGCCACCAGCCCTTGGAGTGTCCCGCCAGGACCTGCGGTCCTCCTCGGTGGGACAGTGGTCCATGTAGCAGGAGGTCCCCACGAGCCCTGGGCCCTGCCACCTGCCCACTGTCCTGCCCCCCACACCAGCCCTGTCAGGGAGCTGCTCCCCGAGGGGACCCTCGCCGGGTCCTCCAGCCTGTGGCCAGCTGCTCCCTGCCCTCCCGAGTAGGGAGATAACCCTGACAGCTGCTGTGCCAGGTGTCAGGAGGTCCCCAGGTGGCGGCAGGGAGGAGTGTGGCCCAGCCCTCCCCTGGCTGGGTTCACAGGCTCCGGGACATGCTGGGCCCTGTGGGGAACACTGCCACAGGCCAGGGACAGGGCCGGGGCAGGCCACACGAGAAAGCCCTGGTAAATGGCACCTTGGCCCAGGAGAGCAAGAGACAGCGTAGTCCAGACGCCCCGAAAATGCTGTTCTGTAATGAACCCACTGCACACACCCCAGCTGCCCGTGTCCCCGGGGGCTTCAGCTCAGGCCGGGGCCTTCGGCTGAGGCATTGGGACCCCAGAGCCCCCGCTCCCAGCCTGCGGCCCGAGCTGGGCCTTCCAGGTGCCTCCAGGCGAAAAGCCTTCGTGCAGCCCTGGGACACAGCCAGGGGCTGGCCCGACACTGAATGCCACCCCCCTGGCCTTGCTTTGGGGCAGGAGTGAATGCGCCTGCGTGCGTGACTGGCAGGGTGTGTGAGGTGCAGCCACCGCCAGTGGCCTGGGTCCTGCGCCCTCCCCTCTCGTCCGAGGATCCCGGGCCTCGTCCCGGAGCTGCCCTCCTGGGGGCCTGCGGGTGCTCCACCCCCCTGCAGGTGCTGAGGGCACGTCCTCTGCAGAGATCACTGCTCATGGTGGTGGGTCCCAGGAGGGAAGGGGGACCAGGTGTGGTCAGCGTGGCTGCTGGCCAGTGCCTCAGCCGGGTGGCCTTGCCCTCAGCAACTGCTCATTGTTCAGGGACCGTGGCGCGGAGGGACAGTCTCCTCCCCCGGCCCTCTCGGTGTGCAGGCAGTGCCGTGTTCTCTGTTCAACTGGACAGACTTCTGGGACGTGGCATGGAGGCCCAGGCAGGGAAAGGGTAGGTGTCCTCCTGGGAAGCCACTCAAGACACTTCACTTGGGTCCCAGCCCAGTGGCAGGCCCGGAGTCCCGCCACGTGGCCACCAGCCTGGAGGACGTGGGGCGGGAGCTGCTCTTTCCTCTAAGCCTGTCGCTAGTCCCCGTGTCACGGCTCGTCAGAGGCGTTCAGGGCACCCTTTCCGCTCCCCTGCCTCTGCCGAGGACCCCCGAACCAGCCCCGGCTCCCCTCGCTCTCAAGCTGTCCCAAAGGGCCACAAGCCCGGTGGCTGGCGTGTCATCTGGAGGCCTGTGGAAATTTTTTGTTCTATTGGCCTGTGCCCTGGGGCTGTAGGGGACAGCGGTGGAGTGAGCCCGGAGGCAGGATGCGGGCAGGACGCGGGCAGGGAGCAGCCCGTTGGTCTCGGGTCTCGGCCACTCCCCAGGCAGAGCCGTTGGCCGACTCCCCGCCGTAGGAGGACGCAGCCTGCCGGCCCGGTGCTGCTGCTGGTGCTGCCGGAGCTCGCGGAAGGCCCGGCCGCCCAGGACAGAGCTGCTTCTCCTTTTAAGGCCACGTCTGCGCTCCTGGCAAGGCCCGCCTGGCCAGCGCGCTCTGGGCCCCTGGAGGGAATGATGATTAATCGGCCCCTCCCCCGCCCTGCTTCCACGAGGTTCTTTTTAAAGGGTTGGCACCGCTCCCCCAGAAGAGGCACGCGGCAGACCCCCAGTGTCAGGGAAGCGCCCCGAGGGCGTGGGGGCTGCTCTGGGGGAGACCCAGGGCTTCTGGGGGCGCTAGGCTGGGCTGGGGTGCGTGGTTCTGTGGGCGGCAGGGGCACGCTGGCCAGGCAGGCCAGCTGGGGAAGGTCAGAGGTCACACTGAGGCGCGATGCTGGTGGAGGGTCCGACTCGACTCGTCGGCTGGGTTTCGTCCCTGCAACCTGTGCCCACACGGGGCAGGGCAGCGCACAGGGGCTCCGACAAGGACAAGGCCTGCGGTGGGGGCGCGGGGGCGGGCAGCAGTGTCCGCGGGGGGCCTCGCCCAGCTGCTCCTGAGGGGCCGGCGGTGAGACCCTTGAACGTGGGCTGGGGCAGGAAGAGGGCGTCCCCAGCCAGGCTGTGAGCAGGTCTCAGGCGTGTCCTGCAGGGTGACCATCAGACTGCTCCCCGCTCCTGCTGCAAACCGGCTCTCCTTCTGCCTGTCACATCCAGCTACAGCCCAGTGAGTGTGAGGGGCTCCCTGCCCCCACTCCGCCATGCAGCCCCCGGCCGTGGGGCAGGAGGGGGCAAGGGCACATTCCAAGGGCCTGTCTCACCAGGCTCTGTGCCCCTGGCCGCCCGGCCCGCTGTGATTCTCGCAGAGGAGCCAAGGACTTCTGCTGCCAAATAAACCGGGGCTGGTCCCCGATGGCCTGTGTTTGTTTTCAGGTACAAACTGTTTCCACAGGGCCCACCAGCTCTCCCCCCGCGAGGCTGGGCCGCAGAGCAGGGCGGGGTTCCTCCCCAGCACCCTTGGGAGACAGAGGCCTTTCTAGCAAGCAGGCGGCATCTCTTACAGACCTCGAGGACGCTCGAGGTCCCTGTGACCCTGGGGTCGCATCTGACCTCAGGTGTCCCGCTGTCCCCACTCTGTGCGTGGGGTGGGAAGTGCTATCGACATACGGCTCCGACTTCGGCCACATCGTGGAGAAGTGGCCCCATGGAGGGGCGGTGGCCGCTCGGCACCACTCTGTGTCTGTGGGCGCAGGGGAGCCACAGGACCCGAGGTCCTGAGTTCAGCTGGCCCGGCAGGAGCCAGGCCCCTCGGTCAGCTGTCTCCTGAAGCACAGGGAAGATGCTGTGCATCCGCAGAAGGCCACACGCATCCGACATAAAGGGCTGCCCTGGCTCCTGCTCGCTTCACGTTGATGACAGTGGGCAGGATGTGTAAATACCTTTCACTAAAATGAGTGTCAGCGGACTCGTGGCTCCCTGCGACCTTTTTTTGCCTTAGGAAGGGTACTGGCCACAGAATCTTGGCGTCGGGGAACCACTGACCCACGCTTGGGGACAGGGCCAGGAGAGGGCGAGGCAGGTGAGGCCTTGAGTGCCAGGGACACCTAGAGCTCAGTGGTCACGACAACCGCTTATTTTCGAGAATGTTGTAAAACATCAAGTTTAATGCAAAAGAGCCGTGATGAGCACAAATTCGAAATTCTAAAGACGGGACCAGACTCAGTGACTTTCCTCCGGCGCTGGGCTGCAGCCTGGCTCAGCAGGCCCCCCGGACGCAGCCCTAGTCTCGGGCAGAAAAGGACAGCCCCGAGGGCTCGGGGGGAGCCGCCGGCCTCCCCGGGGGCTGGCTGGCGTCCCAGGACCCCGAGGATTTGGGCCTGACGCAGGCCCGCTCTCCACGGCCTGAGCCCCGGAGGTCCCGAGGTTACGTAAGCGCCGTCCACGCTCGTCCGTCCTCGCTCCTCTCCCTCGAGCCAGCTCATGTTTATTTTTCTTTTCTGAATTCTTAGGAAAGCAAGCGAGTGGAGACCAAGGCGGACGCCAAGGACGGAGCGGAGAGGAGCAGAGATGCCAGCACGAAAGCCCCGGGCCCCAGGAAGGGCTCAGAGGCGGGGAGGGAGCCGAGGAGGGGGACCCTGCAGAGAAGCTTCTCGAGGGACAAAGGTGACATCGACAAAGGCAAAGATGCGGAGCGGCCCAGGCCCACGGGGGAGAAGGTCGTCGGGGGCAGCGACCGGGGCCGGGGCCAGGCAGCCGTGGACAAGACGGAGGCCGGGAGGGACGTGCGGGGGGACGCGGGGGCCACCCCCAGGAAGGAGGAGGGGGAGAGAGGCAGCGCCAGGAGCACGGGTTTGAGCAGCGACAAGGACAAGGTCAAGGACAAGGTCAAGGTCAAGGACAAGGACAAGGACAACGACAAGGACAAAGACAAGGACAAGGTCAAGGACAACGACAAGGTCAAGGACAAGGTCAAGGACAAGGACAAGGACAAGAAGACAGAGGCCGCCAAGGAGAGGGGCGAGAACAGGGAAGACGAGCAGGCGAAAGGGGGCGCCAGGAGCAGCGAGGCTGGGAAGGGCGCGCCCCCCCAGGAAGGGGGGCCCCCCGCGGCAGAGGGACAGGCGCCCCCGGAGGCGGCCCCCAGCATCTTTGACGAGACCCTGGAGCAGGTGCGGGCCAACGACCCCACGGTGACGGAGGTGAACGTCAACAACTCGGACTGCATCACCACCGAGGTGCTGGTGCGCTTCGCCGAGGCCCTGGAGTTCAACAGCGTGGTCAAGGTGTTCGCCCTGGCCAACACGCGGGCGGACGACCACGTGGCCTTCGCCATCGCCATCATGCTCAAGGCCAACCGGAGCATCACCAGCCTGAACCTGGACTCCAACCGCATCTCGGGCCAGGGCCTGCTGGCCATCTTCCGCGCCCTGCTGCACAACGGCACGCTGGCTGAGCTGCGTTTCCACAACCAGCGGCACATCTGCGGCGGCAAGGCGGAGATGGAGATGGCCCGGCTGCTCAGGGACAACACCACCCTGCTCAAGCTCGGCTACCACTTCGAGCTGGCCGGGCCCCGCATGGCCGTCACCAACCTGCTCAGCCGCAACATGGACCGGCAGCGCCAGAGGCGCCTGCAGGAGCAGCGGCGGGCGCAGGAGGCCGCCGCGGAGAAGGGGGCTCTGCCGGAGGTGGCGGCGGCTGGCACCCGGGCCCAGGGCGCCCCCCGGCCCGCCCCCCAGCCGTCTCCCAAGGCCTCGCCCAAGAACTCGCCTGGGAAAGGGGGCGCCCCAGCGGCCCCACCGCCCCCCCCTCCTCCCCTGGCCCCTCCCCTGGCCCCTCCCCTGGCCGTGGAGAACCTGAGGAACTCGCTGTCACCCGCCACCCAGAGGAAGATGGGGGACAGAGCCCTCCCTGCCCAGGAGAAGAACTCCCGTGACCAGCTGCTGGCCGCCATCCGCTCCAGCAACCTGAAGCAGCTCAAGAAGGTAAGTAGGTGTGGGAGGGCCGGTCTGGAGGCCGGGACGCCTGGGGACGCTGCAGGGGCCCAGGGGCGCACCTGTGCCAGGAGGGGGGACTGCCTCCCGTCAGCTCAGCACCCAGAAGCTGTGCCTCGGCCCCCCGTTCGTCCTGACCCCACTCCCGCGTCCCCGGGCCCCTCAGCACTGTGCCCGCCAGCTGTCCCTGGGCAGCAGAGTCCGTAGCCAGCTGGCCGGCCTCGCGACCGCGTCTGGAACGCCGCCTGCGTCAGCACCTGGCTTCCTTGCGGCTCAGACTCGCACCGCAGTGTCTGCCGCCCAGGCCGGGGTGGCAGGGGCGTGAGGCCCCAGCTCCCTCCCTCAACTCTCTCTGCTTTGCCCTTACAGGTGGCAGTGCCCAAGCTGCTCCAGTAGGACCAGGTGGCCAGGCACCGTCCTCCAGGGCTGCCCCGCCCCAGCTGCCCCGCTGCGACATCCCCGCTCTGCCGTGGAGCACCTGGAGGGCGGCTCTCCGGCCTTCCCTTTCCGGTCTGAGAACTCCAGACGTGTCTTTTCTATCTGGAGCTGAAGAATCTGGACAAGTCACTGAGAAGGCGGCAAGCCTGGGGCCCACGCAGCTGGCAGGCTGCCAAAGGCCTGTGGTCCAGGACAGATGTCCCACGGGGCCCACGTCACCAGCCCAGCCCACCGCCCTTGGGGCCAGGATCCGGGCCTCTGAGGAGCCCTGGGGCAACGCTGCTGGGCTGGTGGCAGATCGCGAGGGCCCACGGTAGGGGGACGGGATGGGCTGATGACACCCCACCTCCCTCGGAGAGGGCGTGGCAGGGGCAGCTGCCTGGACAGGGAGTGGGCTCTGGACGGGGGAGGGACACACAGCAGCCGGACCTGAAGTTCTGACGCCAAAGCAGACACTTTCCTCACGCTCCCTGCTGATGTATAAATGGCTGTTTGTTTTTCCGTAAGATTTTGATAATATATGAAGCCTTCAACTATGTGTGGCTGTACCATGGGTCCTGATGCCCACCTGGGCTCCCTGGAGGATTCTAGAAACTCAGGCTCCCAGCCATGCCACCCCGTGGTGGCTGTAAAACAAGTCCAGTGTGGGGACAGCCTCCTCACCGACCTGGCTGTCCAGGCCAGGAGGCTGGGCCTCAGCAGGGGCTGCTCCCGGCTGGTCCTGCCACCGGGGCCGACGGGCAGAGGAGCCCAGGTGGCTATATTAGGGCATGTTCCCTCCCGACTCCCCTGGCCGCGGGCTGGTGGCCAGCTGCTCACGGCAGCCACAGGCCCGGGCGGGGCAGAGACTGAAGAAAGCATCTGGGCAGCGGCACCCCGCGGCTGCCCCTCGAGGCACATCACAGGCGAACTGCTAGCTCGAAGGCTTAAGGGTGCTGGCTCCCCTGGGCACTGTGGCACTGCCGCCTTGGGTCTGTCACCCGAAGGTTTCCAGGGCTCCACGGGGGGTGCACAGCAGTGTCACCCTCTCGGGGGTGGTGGCGGGGTCCCTCCTGGGGAGTGGGACCCTCATGCTAAGTCTGGCCGAACACAGGACAGGCCACCCTGGGAGTGGAGCTCAGGTCCCAGGGCACAGCCTCAGCTCCTTGCCGCGCACTCCCCGCCCCCCAAACAAGGGCTGGGCCCGGTCCAGAGCCCCGAGGGTGAACGCGGCCGAGCCGGCTCCCAGGCAGAGGCCGGGCTTGACTCCATTTTGCAGATAGCGTCCCGCCCAGGGAGGGTAAATGGCAGTGACGGCGGAGCTCAGATGTCCCTCCTCCCCTTGCTGGCGTGAGGCCGGGCACGGGGCCACAGGACTGGTCTCCGAACCCTAAGGCTTCCACAGAACCTGCCGCCTTAGCAAGCCCCTTCCACCAAAGGAAGGACGCCATTTAGCCAGGGGTGGCCCGCCGGCCGGACCACGTCACCCTCCCTGGCGCCCGGCCGGACGCGGGAGCACAGCGCCACCTGGTGGCGCGTGAGGCCGGGGTGGGAGCCGCAAAGGGTCTCGCGGGTCCGCACCCACCTTTGACTGGAGACGCAAGGTCCAGAGGAGACACAGCAAACCCGGCCTCCTGCCGACCGGGACGCCCCCGCGCAGCGCTCCACGGTCCCCTTCCGAGTCTCCCGCCCTGCGCCGCCGGCCCCCCTGGCTCCGGGCAGGACTGCAGCCACGCGAGGGGCCCTGGAAGCTTGGGATCTGGACGCCGGCACCACCCAGCATGCGTTCGGACCTCGGAGAGCTCTGAGCCTGAGCGCCACGTGCCGCCACCTCTGCCCCACGACCTTCTCCCAGTCCCTCATCCAGGCCCCTCCCTGTATCCTGCCGCCCTCCTTCGGCCCGCTGCCCACGGCAGGTGTGGAGGATCTCCAAGAGCTGAGGGGCCAGACCCCAGCTTTCCTGTCCTTCCCCTGCCCCCAGTAAAAGTGGTCCAGCAACGCCACTCACCCCTCAAACTGGCCAAGTCCCAGCTCAGCTCTGTCTGCTTCCCGGGGGCTGTCCCCGGCAGGGCCCAGGCTGTGGCTTGAGTGTTAGACCCCTAGGCACCCCAGGGCCAGGAGCAGAGACAGGTGGGGCAGGGACGCGATTGGTCCCATGGAACCTTGGGTGGTGTAGGTACTGGCAGACGCCTAGCAGAGGGATACAGAACGCCTGCCAAGGGCCAGCCTGCAGGTGTCCAGCCAGAGGGTGCAGAGGGACTCGGGGTGACAGACGGGCAGGGCTGGGGGATGGAGTGGCAAGGGGCTCCAGACTGGTCACTCACCTGCAGGGCTGTGGATGGGGACCCAGCTGGGCAGAACCACTGGGGGCCAGATCTGGGGGCCTGGGGGTGTGGGCACCTGGCTGCATGAGGTTGCCTGTCATTGGAATCACCCGGCCTCGGTAGGGGACAGGGTCAGCATGGAGGGCGTTGCCTCCACAGGGCGCCCCCTAACTCCCCCAGAAGACTGGCGAGCAACTTGGCCCGGCCCTCCGGCATCTCCAGGCTGGCCACCTGCCACCCTGGCCTCCAGTCCTTGCTGGGCAGAGCTGGGCAGGGAGCCATGTGCGTGCTGGTGTGATCCGTTTAGCACGGCCCCCAGCGGCTTCTGGAAAGCACAGCCAGGGAACGTCAGACGTGGGCAAGGAGAGGGTGGCTCCTGGGGCTGCTGCCTTGTCACCTAGCTGAGCTGCCCCCAGGGGCACCCAGCCCTTCCCCTCACACTGATCGTCCACAGTGGCACTGCTCCCATCAGGTCTGGGCACGTGTGCACTCACACGCCAACACTCAGCACTCCAGACCCCAGCGCCAGGCTGGCGGGGAGGCCCGTGCACGCACAGCCCCCTGCACACACGCCGCGCTGGACAGGCGGCACGGTGTGTGCGTCTGAGTGTCCACGCTCATGCACACGTGGGCACACTGTCCACGGGTGGCCCCGCGGTCTTCCGGCTGGGGTCACGTGCTGGCAGGTGCACGCCCAGGAGCACACACCCTTGGACCGTGGGGCCCCACGGGCTCAGCCAGCTTCTCAGCTCCTCACGCCAGCACTGGCCGCACCTTCGCAGGGGCTCGACGGGGCTGTACAGGGGCAGCAGCAGGTGCAGCAGCCACAGCCATGAGCAGGGTCACCAAGAGCTTGGCACTGGAGACAAGCACCGGCCGTCTCGCCCTGCTGCACTCACGGCAGGGGTCCCCGTAATGGGGACCAGGAAGCTGTGCTCCTGGCCAGCAGGGGGGCCACAGCGAGCCGAGACTGGGGGGGCTCAGCCCAGGGCCTGAGAAGGTCTGGGGGAACCTCCCGTCCCAGAAGGCTGTGCTGCCCAGCCAGCGTGAGGCATGTGGGGACACGCAGTGTGCCCCATGTTCGCACTGAGAGGCGCCTCAGAAACCAAGAACCGTTGTCCCGAAGCCCACTTCACTGTCACTGTCCCTTAGGTCCACGTTAGCAGCCTCTCACTTTATGAAGACAAAACAGTGACCCAAGGTTACACGCCAAGTGACAAATGGACCCGGGATGAACCCAGTCTCCTGCCCCTGGCCAGAGCCCCTCCTGCAAAGCTGCAGTCCAGGCTGGGCGATGACCCTGAGCCCTCGCCCCACAGGGCCCAACAGGACCAAGGGGAGGGCTCCAGGAAGGACCTGATACCAGGCCTTTCCTGCAAGCCCCACCTCAGCTCTGACAGCTTTGTCCCCAAGCGGGAGTCCTGGGTTTGGCCCGGACGTGGGGGTGGGCAAGCGAGGAGGAAGGGTGGGCTGCTGAGAGGGGGGTGGGGAGGTGAGCGGCCCCCACCCGAACCCCAGGCAGTGCTCCCGCAGTGACTCGGCTCGGGGACAGGGCAGTGGTTCAGGGCCCTCAGGCAGCCAGGTGGGCTCCACGGCGACCACTCGGGGAACCCTGCCTCCTGTCACAGGAGCTGCTGCCCTGCCACGTCTCCCCTTTGCCACCACCCTGTTGTGGTGTCCCAGCCACGTCTGGACTCGCATGAGGACGCTCTAGCAGTGCGGACACGCACGTCACTTCCACGTGGGGCATCCCCGCGGCCCCCACTGTCCCCCAGCCCGCGTCTGGCTGAGCGCTGCGCCGTAAGCACCACACACTCCACGATGGCCTCTCCTTAAAGGCTTCCGTTCCTCCGGCGTGTCCTGCCCGCGTCACCCAGCGCGAAGCAGTCGCCTGGGTCGCGGTCCTGCACATCACCCGGCAGACGCACAGGGGAGGGAGCAGGAAACAGCGCGAAGCAGTCGCCTGGGTCGCGGTCCTGCACTGCTGTGACTTCGGCAGGTACCGTGGTGTCCGTCTCGGCCCACTGTTCTGAGCGGGGTGGACAAAACCCCGCAGTCCGCAAGGGCATCAGACGCGGCAGCCCGAGGCGGGCGTGGCGACCGTCAGCAGCAGGGCATGTGCTCAGAACTCTGGGCGACCGTCTCACCGGTGCTTGGCCAACGGTCACCAGCTCTGGGTGGCCCTGCCTGGCTCCTTCTGTAACACCGTCAACCCTGCCTTTTGGGGCAGTGGAAGCACGCACCACGTCCACGTCCTCACACTGACCCCGCCAGACCAGCTCTCCTGGGGAGAGGACCAAGCGGCCCCAGCATAACAGCCTTAGTGTTTGCGCGGATGATAGACCCGGGGCGGCCACAAGCGGCCGTGTGAGGGGAGACTGTCTCTCCCCAGACAACACCCTCGCTTTCTAGTGTCCTGTTTCCCAAGCCGCCTCAGCCCCTTCCAGCTTTCCCTGGACACACCCGAGGGCCTCGCCCCGGTTTTCCGCCTGCGGATGGATCTGACAGCCATGAGCGGGGTCCTCGGCACCCCAGCCAGGCGCGGACGGCCCTTCTCACCCACAGCTCTGGACGTGTGCCTGCTGCCGCGCCCAGGGCCACATGGAGCCCCGAGGGGACGAGCTGACACTTCCTGACACGAGCACGTGACCGGCAGGCAGAGCCGTCCGCAGCGTGACACGCCACACCTGGCTTTTCAGACGCTCCCATCTGCACTTTTTGAAAAAACCTCACGTTCAGATTCTCGTATTTTTATGGTTTGCAGATATATTTGTTTGGATCCTAAACTGCCATCTTTCCCAAGGTTTCCTGTTCTCTGTACCTGGCACTTCCGTTGTAAATGGCCTCAAAGTCTCTTGTGAAATGGGTAAGGCACAGAGAGCCCTCGGTGCCATCCGCACGGCGGGGGCTGCGGGCCGAGCCCGGCCGTCAGGAACTGCCCCTCGGCGGGGGGCCGCTCCGTCTCCCTGATGCTTCTGTGTCCAGATGCTCCCGGTGTTAACAGAACTGGGCCCCGCGGCCAGTGCGGATCCGTCGCTCTCGAGCCTGTCGTGAATACGCACTGAACCCCACGTCTGCTGTCACCCTCCTGCGCGTGTCACCTGCTGCCCCGCTCTGCACGCGCTGTCGCTCGCAGGCCGGACCCGTGACCGTCGGCGTCCCGTCCTGGACGACACCTCCCTTTGCCTTCTGTGCTCCTCTCCCTTCGGTCTCTCCCCGAGGGTCCATGGGCTCGGGAAGCCCTGGTGCCCGCTGCTACCCACCAGGGGACACCGCGGTGTCAGAGCAGCGAGTTCCGTCTTCACGTCCCCAACCTGGCTCATCGTGGCCGCCAGCTCCTTCCGACCGGCCCGCCTGCCCTTTCCGGACTGAAGCGCGTTCTCTTCGGCCAGACAAGCGACAGGACAGGAGCCGGCACTGCCCCGTGGTCAGCGCTCCGGTCTCTAGCAGGTACCTCTGTCTTCCCGCCTGGCCCTGGCTGTGGTCTCAACTCAACGGGGGAGACTGGGATGGTGACGTGAGGGGACCCAGAGGCGAACACTCCGGAAACACAGGAAATGGCTGCACACCCAGGTGACCCCATTGACACCAGTCTCCTCCTTCAGGACGAATTCTTCAGAGGCAAAAGGCCCAGCTGTCCCCAGAAGCCAGGAGAGCAGGAAGAGGACCACTTTTGGCACCACAGAGGGACCCACGTTGCCCTTCCGTCTGCGGGGCCCGGAGCCCCCCACACTCGGCAGTCCAGTGCTGCTGGCCTGAGGCTGCTCTGCGCCCAAACCGGAGGAGGGTCTGGCTCAAAGGGCCTTCGGCACGGAACCCACAGGCGCCGCCTTGGGGTCAAGTGTGGAACGAGTCTCTAAGGCTCACACCGGTTCCCGGGGTCCGGACTGGCCAGCCTGCCACCATTTTCTCAGCATCCGTGACCCCGACCCGAAGGCGACGGACAGCAGGAGGCAGAGGCCGGGTGGGCCTCGGAAGCTGGCTGGCTGCAGACACACTGTGAGCGCACGTCCACGGGCTTCGCAGAGACAGGCGCTTCCACGCGACACGGCGGCCAGACACCTGGTGGCACCACGTCACTGTCAGCCACAAAATCCAGCTTCCGCGACAGTCCTGGAGAGTGAATGCCCCACGGGTCCCCCTTCCTTCAGAACGGAGATTCACATCCGCTTCCTGCTTCATCTCCCGTCCGAGAGCCACCCTGGAGAGGCTTTGCAGCCGTCGGGGGCGGATGCCTCGCCTCGCCTCCCAGCCCGTGACTTCCGACCCGCATTCCCACGCCGAACCCACAGCAGACTACGTCCTCCTGGTTAGCGGCCCTTGCCTGGGGATCCCCGACCGGACAGGGTGACCTCGAGCCGGGTCGGCCGAGATGCGAGGTGCACGCGGTTCCGCCCATGTCTTTCCCGGCCTCGCTGTCCTCAGGAAGCGGGCGCGGGTGCTGACACTTGTGCCACGCGGCCCCAGTCATGTGTAAAGATTCCTTCCCCCGCCTAGAAAAATACACGCCGCCAACTCGAGGCCTACGGCTTAACGACTCTCGAGGCCCTTGTGGGGGGGTCACCTGACTGTCGGGCTGTGTGGCCGCACGTGGGAGAGGCTTATCAAATACAGTCAGGTGGCTTTTAAAAAAATCTGTTTTCCCATTTTTTTTTTTTCTAAAAAAGGAAAAACAAGTTGCCATTTGCCTGGCTTTTTTCGCGCGTGTGTGTACGCACACGCAAGAACAGCTCGGGAGGGGGCTGTCATGCAAAGAGGCAGGACAAGGTGACCTCGGCGTCCTGTGCAGCGGGGAGGAGCAGGCACCAGACGCTGTCGCGTGCTGCGCTCCTCACGCCCACCGAGAGCCCCGCGCGTGCGTCGGCCTCTCCCCAGGGCCCGCCTGTCTGCACACGGCAGGTCCCAGCACGGCATCAGCGAGGAATCTGTTGCTTCAGGTGGACAGTCACGCCGGCCTGCCCGTGGTGGGGCGAGTGACTCATGGGCGCAGGACCCCGTGGGCACACGCCTCTGGACTGGCCAGCAGGCGGCTCTAGGGACAGAAGTGGGTGCAGTGGGAGCGGGGGGCGTCTCAAGGTGGGGAGCTCCAGGGGGACGCCGAGGGCTGTCCGTTGTTCCAGCATTCCTAAGTGACGGCAGTGGAGGACGTGGCCTGGACGGTCGTCCACGTCGCCCTGTGAAGGCCGAGGGGCCGCGCGTCTCCAGGCTGTGAGGGGGGGAGGAGGCCCCGAGCCGACGGCCACGCTCTAGACGCCTATGGTCTGCAGCACCCGCCGCTCGCTGTCGTTGAGGTGGCCTGAGAACATGGGGTAGCAGGGCTGCTGGGCGAACTGGCAGAGGAAGTCCGTGAGGTACGCCTGCAGGGGGAGGGGTGGCATTACCACGGGCACCGGGACGAGAACCCCAAGTGGCCTCGGACATGGCACCCCAAGAGGCAGTTCCCTACTTTCTTGGGTCTGGTTTAGGTTCAGCCTGGAGACTGAAGTCCACGGGGAGACACGCATCATACCGCGCTGAGGACTGTCACAGCGCAGCCCCAGGACACTGCGTCACAACACGGACACACACGTGAGGCGCCAGGTTCCAGGCTAGCGAAGCCCGTGACCACGTGGCACGGCAGCAGCACGCCGCCGGTGGACGAGGCCGGGGCTGAGCGCACGTGCCTGTCCTGAGGCTGGACACACTGCCCCTGGCGAGCTGCGGTCTGAGGACGGGCTCACCTGCAGGTCAATCTGGTAGAGAGGGTCCTTCAGGGCGTCGGGGTCGTCCTCCTCGTCGTCCTCGTAGTAGTCCTCCTCTGCCAGATACAGCCCCGTGGGCGGGTCAAAGCGAGGCCACCTGGGCGCCACCCCTGTGCCCACTCCCAGCACCAGGGTGCAGAGGCCACGGCGGTCCCCCTAGCAGCTCACCATATTTGCTCGTGGCGAGGATGTCGGACAAGAGCTGGCCGGCGAGCCCGTCCTCCTCCTCCTCCTCCTCGTCCTCCGGGTCCTCCCACATGTCGTTGGAGTCGTCTGCGCGGAGACGAGAAGCAGCTGGGGGGATGTGCAGATGCCCCCACAACAGGCCGGGACCCATGCCCTGAGGGTTTCTGCAGCGGGGCCTGCCGGGGCGGCCACAGGCTGAGAAGCCCAAGGCCCAGTGCAGGCAGGGCCGACAGCGGCTGTGTGCCAGGGACGTGAGCCAGCAAACACCACACGCCAGCATCTTAAAGACCACGGGGACTCGCAGACCAGTCAGGACTCGGGACCCTGTTAGTGTGGGCTGCCAGCCAAGGTCCCCGGGGCGAGGGCCCAGCACCTTGGCCCCACTCCGCGGGCGCGGTCTGGCGAGCAGCATTGGCCTCCATCACGGTGGACAGCTCGTTGATGATCAGCTTGAGGATCTTGACCAGCAAAGGGATGTTTGTCCAGCGCTCAGGGTCTGGGAAAGAAAGAGAGTCGGACGTCATCGGGTCATTTCTGCCACTGTCCCCCCGTCCTCCTGCTGCCAGAGAATGACTTAGGTAACACACTCTCCGTGTGCCTGGGGTCGTCAGGGAGGTCAGGAGCGTTCTCAGTCAGGGATTAACAGGTGACAAGCGTTTGCCCGTAACGATGTGACCGTGCGAGAGGGCCTGCCTGTTTCCAGGACCTGCAGCTGGACGGGCAGCACAGGTGACCACAAAGCTACTGCTCCAGAGTCAGGTCTGCACTCATGACCTACAAATCACTAGAGTCACAGGCCAGAGGAGACTCAGTGACCGAGACCTGCCAGGCACGAAGCCGGAAGCCGGATCCTGGTGCCAGACGTGGTGCTTGTCGATGACCAGCAACAGGCAGGAACCGTCCCGTCCTGTCCCACAGTTTTCTGCCTCTTACAAGACCCGTCACTAACAGTTACAGTTTAGAGAGACACCCCAGAGTCACCCACTCTTGGCCGACTTGGAGCGGGTGCGCACACCCTCGTCCACGTTGTACAGCTCCTCGCCCTTCACACGGATGTCCTGCAGCCGCCTGTCGTCCGTGTTGATGCCGTGCTGGAGCAGCTTGCACAGGGCCACAGAGCTAGCAGGGGAGGGCCGAGAGGGGTCACTCAGCCACCTATCCAGCGTGCACTACAGGAGGCAAGCAGCTAGCTCACAGTGGGGGGAGGAGAGGGCTTGGCTGAGGGCGGGACTTAGCGCCCAGGCCGGCCCTACAGCAGGGGCTGTCCAGCAAGGTTTCAGCACAGCTGATGAGGACGGAGGTGGTCTCAGCCACCTCCAGCGTGCACTACAGGAGGCAAGCAGCTAGCTCACAGTGGGGGGAGGAGAGGGCTTGGCTGAGGGCGGGACTTAGCGCCCAGGCCGGCCCTACAGCAGGGGCTGTCCAGCAAGGTTTCAGCACAGCTGTGA